AACGAATCAATGGTTTATGAAGAAGATGTTCCAGTTATTGTGCGAAGACGAGGGTGCATGCTCCGAGTACGGATTACATCATTTACGGATACTGATTCGGATGGAGAAGCCCCGTCTGCTTCTCGCTCTTCAGCATGTGTAAGTTTTTATATTCAGAATAGTTTCCAATTTTGAAAATCCATTATTACATTAAAAAAAATACGCAGATTTCATGATTGATATTAACAAAATGATGTCATTGTTGAAATGATGTCATTGTTGAAATGATGTCATTGTTGAAATGATGTCATTGTTGAAATGATGTCATAGTTCATAGCCATGATAGCAATGATGTCATTGGCGTCATGATAGCAATGATGTCATTGGCATCATGATAGCAATGGTGTCATTGACATCATGATAGCAATGATGCCTTGATAGCAATGATGTCATTGGCATCATTGTCATGATAGCAATGATGTCATTATAGCAATTGTGACATAGTAGCAATGGTGACATTGTAGAAATGATGTCATTGTTTCATTGATGTCATTGAAGCATTGATAACAGTGGGATTGTAGGAATGGAACAATGATGCTTTTTTCGAAATGATGACATTTAACATTCATGTCATTGTAGAAATTATGTCTTAGACACTTGCAGTAGGTCATAAGCCCTATTTAGTGCCATTTGGCTTAATTAGGAGATTATGATGAGCAAGGGATCAGACAGATGTAAAAACTTTAAAAATCTCAATGTCTGCCATATTGTCTATGGTGTTAAAAATAAATAAATAGTAGTTTCTTAACAAGAAATAAAATTAAATCAGTATCACTGTTCGGTTGTGGCTTCATTTGTATTTCTCTCTCTTTCAAAACAATTATATATTTGCCTGTATAATTATGCTTTTAGGATTGTAACTTTCATTTTTAAAGGCAATTTCTCCTCTTTAAATTGAAACTAATATTTAATTATTAAAGTACAATTGTATTTTTAAATTGAATCCAATATTTATTTATTAAAGCACTATCGTATCTTTAAATTGAATCCAATATTTCATTTTTAAATTGAATTCAAAATGACCTATTGTTAAGTTTATGATTAAACCTGTTACAATGTATTAGAAGAATGGGTAGGGGGTGGATGGCCGAATGGTTAGCGTGTGCAGGTTGTATCGTAAGGTCTGTTATTGAGTCAACTGGTGTAGTTTCAATTCTCCGGTTGTATGTGACAAGGAGTAGGGTCTCCTGGGTTTTCTCCAGGTCCTCCGGTTTCCTCCCATTGCTAAAGACCCTTAAGCATAAGCAAATTATTTTAAAAAAAATTAAACTATATGTTAGTGCCGAAATGACCTGGTTTGTATTGAGTGGACGTTGATCTCTCTCTCTCTCTCTCTCTCTCTCTCTCTTTCTCTTTCTCTCTCTTCCCCCTCTCTCTCTCTCTCTGGTATTAGAAGAAACTACTGTTGAATCCAATATGGCGTGATTAAAGCAGTTTTCTGTAAGTTATCTGGTTTATGTACAATGTACCGAGAAAATAATCTTCTATTACATAATAACTAGACGACCGCGTTAATAATAATAACCCATTAACTTCTCCTTTACATGTCTTATAATTAATTTTCTAACATAATCCACACCTTTTCATCTTTTCTCAACGTGTACTTGAAATGAATCATTACAGAAGATTAAAGATGATCGTTCGACTTATTACACAGGTTTGACGTACATACAGTATTAATCTGATTAAAACACAGATCATATTTCGTTTCGTGTTTTTATAGTTTAAAATCTTGTTTAACTTGTTTATAAGATCTGGAAGATTTGTTATACATGTATATAACCTACATTCTGGTTGAGGGATTAGCGGCGATATATAGATCCCTCTTTTAATCGGATTGATCACAGAGTATTTAAAGTCCAGGCCCCTAGTTCACAAAGCATTCTCAGACTTAAGAATTTACTCAAAATTGTTCTCCTTATTTTAACTAAAATATAGACCTTTTATAAAACCTTTGTTTTAATGTGTCAAATACATCAATAAGCAACTATGTGCAAAGTTTCGTGTTTCTGGATCAAAAATATTTTTCATAATTAGTGATTGAAAGTTGAGTAAATTCTCAACTTAAGTCTGAGAATGCTTTGTGAACTCGGGGCCTGATGCGCTATTTTTAAGTGCTAAAGGAATCACACGCCAACTACAATATTGTGAAAGATGAATCTCTAATAGGATTAGTGGGTGTTGGATGGCTGAATGGTTAGCACGTGCGCGCTGTATCATAAGGCCTGTCATTGAGTCAACTGGCTTGGTTTCGAATCCCCGGCTGTATGCGACAAGGAGTAGGGTCGCCTGTCCAACCTCTTGGGTTTTCTCTGGGTCCTCCGGTTTCCTCCCACTGCTAAAGACCCCTACACGCAAGCTAATATCTTCGCTTGCAATAGAGTAATTTGAATGAAATTTTCAAATTATTCATTTTACATCATCTACTTTCGAACTATTATAGTAAGAATGGCTAATTCTTTATCTAAATCTTACATAATGTATCTTTAATCCAACTAAATCCAAGCTGGAACATTTTTTTATAGTTGATGTTTTGATTTTGTATTCTTAAAGATACATTATGGGAAATAAATCATTAAAGATACATTATGAGAAATTAAATAATGAGTTGGCAGTTCTCACTATAATAGTTAAAAACTAGATAATGTAAAGGCAATTTGCTGAAAATTTCATTCAAATTGATCCACTATGAACCGAGAATTAAGCCTCGATCATCATTACGATAAACAACATAGTCTCGATTATCCATTTAATCATTAAATCGTGAAGGAAAGTTATGCAGTAAATCGGCTCATAATCCACTAAAGATCGCAGGCTAGCGATGCCAACGAGAGTTGATTATGGTCTGGATCAGTTAATTAATGTCTAGTTAATAGTTTATATAACATTTCAGACCTAAAGAAAGACCTGCAATAGACAGATTTAGCTCTTGCATAATGTATGTTTAAGTAATTAAATAATAAGTCTGAATACACTATGATTAAGCTATAAAAAAATTAATATTACAGTGAAAAATGAAAATGGGACATCATTACTTAACAAATAACATGTTATTTCACTCTCTGAACACTTGCCAATCTTTGTAAACTTTGATGTAGGAACTTGGGAGTTGGTTGCCAGAAAACAGCTGACCTGTTGATGTTCTGATCTTTGTTAGAAATAAGACAGGGAATAATCCTTTGTGATCTCATCCATAAACCTCTTTCATCAGGCTAAATATAAAAGTGTATATTTGCTTGAAGTGTGTTCCTTCCTACATATAAAAGGCAACACCGGATTAATTAATTATATCATCCAAAACGTTATGAAGAATAAACCACTTCTTATTGCAACCTAAAATCTATTTGTACTCTGTTGAGCAGAGATTTTTATATTTTCATTTATGTCTGCTCTTTCTGCCGGCATCATGATTTGAACCAGCAGCTACACAGATCTACCGTTCTGTTCAGCCTCTGCTACTCTATTTTTCCTGTTACAGGTCCACAGATTGAGTCAATCAATCTAGTTCACAGTTTAATTTCCATCCATTCGGCCTGTGTATCACATTCTGTGATTAATCAGGTATCTAGGTAGCAATATTAACTTTTTGGGTTGTTTAAAGTTTAAAACATCCTATATGAATAATTATGGTAATAAAGAAGTTTGAAGTCGGAGTGCAGTAAATAGACATTAGTCAACCCAAGACTATTGTTTGTAATGACATGACAGTGATTTGATATTATTAAGCATATGGCAGTGATTAGATATTACTGATCATGTGACAGTGATTCGATATTACTAATCATGTGACAGTGATTTGATATTACTAATCATATGACTGTGATTTGATATTACTAATCATGCGTCAGTGATTTGATATTACTAATCATGTGACAGTGATTTGACATTACTGATCATGTGACAGTGATTTGATATTACTAATCATGTGACAGTGATTTGAACTTACTAATCACATGACAGTGATTTGTACTGACTAATCAAGTGACAGTGATTTGATATTACTAATCATGTGACAGTGATTTGACAACTGATCATGTGACAGTGATTTGATATTAGTAATCATATGACAGTGATTTGAACTTAGAAATCACATGACAGTGATTTGAATTTACTGATCACTTGACAGTGATTTAATATTACTAATCATGTGACAGTGATTTGATATTACTGATCATGTGACAGTGACTTGATATTACTGATCATGTGACAGTGACTTGATATTACTAATCATTTGACTGTGATTTGATATTACTAATCATATGACAGTGATTTGATATCAGTGATATCAGTGATGACAGTGATTTGATATGTTATTGATATCAGTGATTTGATATTACTGATATCAGTGATGACAATGGTTTGATATTACTGATATAAGTAATTATAGTGATTTTATATTACTGATATCAGTGATTACAGTGATTTGATATAACTGATGTTAGGTTGACAGTCATGTGATATTTACTGTCGGATCATATATTTGACAGTTGTGTGATATTACTGATCATATATATGACAATGACAATGACATAGGACAGTGATGTGATACATGTATTTGGTATTACTGATGACTGATGTGATAATTGATATCACTGATCATAAATATGACAGTCTGATATTACAGATCATATGTACATGTATGACAGTGATCTGATATTTGATATTAGTGATGATTGATGTGATAATTGATATCAATGATCAAATATTACTTATGAAATATTTGAATGTTGGTTTTTAACAAAAGTATCTGGTTTGGTGTAAAATTAACAAATGTATACAGTTTTAATTAATCTACGAATAACAACTGTATTTACATGTACAAGAGATTATATTATTGTCAGAAAATATTACTAAAATCTGTGACAGGTGCCTTAAGTCCAGGCCTGCTTATGCTGGGGATTGTTCACATAAGATCAATTAATTAACGTGTGTATTTACTTTGAATATTTTTATTTTTTCAGTCTGATTTCGTTCCTATTCTATCTCCATCTCCACTGCCATCACCTTTGTTGAAGAAATCAAATGATTTGCCATTTGGATTACCCAGTAGTCTTCGCCGTCTGCAGCGGACATTATCAGAAGATGCTAAACAGAGGCGACGTGAGAGTATGCCATCAACGCCGACTGGTCAACCCAATCCCATCGTACCTAACACGCATCTTGGACACAGTAAGTTATATTGTATTATTTTGTTAAAGGAGTCCTCCGGTTTCCTCCCACTGCTAAAGACCACTACACGCAAGTGAATTACTGAAATAAAATAGAACCATATGTTAGTCCCCAAATGACGTGGTTTGTGTCAAGTGGACGTTAAACTCTCTTGCTTTAATTCACCTCTGCTTTATTTACTTTGCAGCTGTTGGGGCATTAAGTTTGGAACCAACTAACTTGCTGCGGATGAAGAATACCATTTTAGGACAATCGGCACCATCGTTAACGGCAACTCTGGTAAGTAAGGCAAGTTGAATTTTTCACATTCAATATAAAACCAAAATGTCTGATCAGACAGGGGGGTTGGATGGCTGAATGGTTAGCGTGTGCACGCTGTATCATAAAGTCTGTCATTGAGTCAGCTGGCGTGGTTTCGAATCCCCGGTTGTACGTGGCAAGGAGTAGGGTTGCCTGTCCAACCTCGTGGGTTTTCTTCGGGTCCTCCGGTTTCCTCCCACTGCTAAAGACCTCTACGCGCAAGCGAATTATGTAAATAAAATTAAACCATATGTTAGTCCCGAAATGACCTAGTTTGTGTCGAGTAGACGTTAAACTCCATATCTCTCTCTCTCTCTGATCAGACAAAAGATTAATTTGATTTAAGAGTATTTATTCGTGTGGCAGCCCTTTATCACCATGTCCTGTAATAAATGCTTTCTGATCTTCTGCACAGTGTTCCTAAGGGATTGTTTCTCCTGATTATTTTCCGAGGACTACTTCCATCACGGAGATACACGCTAACCCTGTCCTAGAATAAATGCTTTCTGGTCCTCTACACGGATTTGCTAGGGGATTGTTTCTCCTGATTATTTTCCGAGGACTGCTTCCATCACTGAGATAAACGCTAACCCACATTGTTGTAGGGATTCTTCTGCCCACCAATTTTAGTTTTAGTAAGGAGTTAATTCGTAACATTCTTGAAATTATATCAAGCAGAGCTGCAGTGGCTCAATGAATAAGATGTAAGAGAAGTCTGGACAGTTCTAATGCGAAGAGTAGGTCGTAGCGTTGTTGTCCGAGCAAAATAACCCTTTTAATTAGCCCAGTCTGAGCATCCCATTTCATTTGATTTGTATGTTAAGCTATATTATTGAAACGTTTCACCCAATTCCCTATATTATCATTATAAAACCTACAATAATAATTACACAGTCTGAGATGTGAAACGGCAATTACTTGCTATTGAAGCGTTACTCAATATTCCACACTCCTGCAATTTCTTCGTTTATTTTCACTTGCAGTCTGATCGTGGAAAACATATAGTGGGAAGTGAATTTATTGTCCTGTTCATCACTTGATAATGTTTCATTGAGACACGTTTATAGCTTGTGACATAATAATCATGACAAAAATCATTGAACTAACAAAATACAATAAGTTTAAATAAGACGAGATGTCTAGATTGGTTTTGAAACTTGACATTTGCAATCTGTTCTTGCATTTGATTCATTTGCTCCAGACTTAAAATATTATTGTAATTCCAGTGTATTCATCCGCACTCATACATCAAATTAATTACATTGTATTATTTTTATTTCATGTCACCCGGATTCATCCTCACTCATACATCAGATTAATTAGAGTGTATTATTTTTATTTCAAATCGTCCGATTCATCTGCACTCATACATGAGTGTATTATTTTTATTTCATATCACCCCGATTCATCCTCACTCCTACATCAGATTAATTCAAGTGTATTAATCTTAATTCAAATTGACCCACCTCGACAATAGATTAATTTGAGCGTATTGTTTTCAATTTTGGACTAGTAGCCCCCAGACATTGCAAGCAATAAACAACTACCGTACATATATCAAGTAAATTAAGCGTCCACTGTTCTGTACAGTCTCGGGTCTGTAATGATACAGGCCTCCTCATTCAAGATGAGAGAGAGAAATGGGGTTTAATGTCCACTCGACACAAACTATGTCATTTCGGGACTAACATGGTTCAATTTTTTTCAATAATTCGCATGCACGTAGGGGTTTTTAGCAGTGGGAGGAAACCGGGGGACCTGAAGAATGCCCTACTCCTTGTCACGTACAACTGGGGAATCAAAATCACGCTAGTTGACTCAATGGGAGGAAAAACAATAAATTGGACAGGCGACCCTACTCCTTGTCATGTACAACCGGGCAATCGAAACCACGAGAGTTCACCCAATGACAGACCTTATGATACTTTGTGCACACGCTAACCATTTGGCTAACCATTCGGCCATCCAACCCCCCTCGTTCAAAATGAAAAACAAACTAATAATAAAATGGAGAAAAACCTACATGTAGCAATGATGCGACCAACCTTGAGGGTGTTGGTCTGCTGAATGACATTTATGATTTTATCTGCCGAAATATTATTATTGCTAATATAAAGTCTTAAAAGAGGAGTGAGTTTGGATGGCCGAATAGTTAGCGTGTGCTTGTTGTATCATAAGGTCTGTCGTTGAGTCAACTGGTGTGGTTTCGATTCCCGGATTGTACGTGACAAGGAGTGGTGTCGTCTGTCCAACCTCATGCGTTTTCTCCAGGTCCATCGTGAAAGCGAATTATTGAAATAAAATTGAACCATATGTTAGTCCCGAAATGACCTAGTTTCTCGCAAGTGGCAAAAAAACCCATCTCTCTCTCTCTCTCTCTCACTCACTCACTCTCTTAAAAGAGGAAATATATTTTCGAACAATTGTCTGTGATCGCAGATGTCTCTTAAATACGGGTAAATTAAGATTTGTCTAGAAAAATATTAATATTGACATGGTTGCTTCTGGTGGTGAGGTGAATTATTTAGAGTAGAATTAAGATCAATTGATAATGTCTGGTGCTTTCAGGAATACGGCAAGATTTCACAATCAAGTCATGTTTCCACATACAGGCTATTTTATCTTCTCACAAATTACTCGGACCAAATTAAATAATAAAATTATTTCTTCTTCACGAACAACCACAGCCCTTCAATTTAGATTGTTAAAAAGACTGAATCACATACTAATCATTTCGTCGATGGTTTTGTGAAGTGAGGATTATTTTATACAAAGTACCAATCAACCTTGTTAGTAATTCCTCGCCAGTTCGTTATTTTGACCATTTTGTTCAAAGCCTTGTTGTGACCTTCATATTAGCCAGTTTTACGTGATTTCTGGGCAGGAATCAACTGAATAAAGGACTCTAGAACTCTAGTTCCAAATACAAGATCAAAGTTATTGTTTCAAACACAAAGTCTAGGAAAAACAAGGACCAGAAATGACAGTTTCAAATACAAAGGTCATTAATTACAGTTTCAAATACAAAGGTCATAAATTAAAGTTTAAAATACAAAGGTCTAAAGATTATAGTTTAAAAAAAAAAAAAATCTATCAAAAATAAGATATGAAATTACGGTTAAAAAAAAACAAAAAAAAAACATACATAAATAATTTAAAGCTTAAAATTTATTAAATAAACTGAAAACAGGCTATATGACTGAAAACAGGCTATATGATATAAAAATCGATAAGTAATTTCCTGTAATATGTCATTTATGATGTATATGTAATATTATATTGTGCCATCATCGTATTGCTAATATGAAATAGGGTTTAACTTCCTACTTCTCTGAACAAGACTGGCTAAATAAGACTGGCATGCATACGCCATGCAATTTGCTATAAGGGAAATTTTTCCTATCGCCTACTCTTATTTCAAATTCCAACTGCCAAGGGTTCTTTTATGCGTGTATGTTTACATGTACACTAGACCGCCTCTTAAAGTAGCTAAGTCTCTAATTCAATATTGTCCACAGTCTTTGACATTGAAAACATGAATTATTTTTCAATTTAAATCAACATTGATATTGTGATTTTACCAGGAAAGGATGTGCTTTTGATATCCAATATTTAAGATAAAATAAACATTTTACCATTGGTACATTTCAGTGCCATTTGTAGCAAGGGACTTGAAGAACGAGGCTAGACATATTCCACAAGTCATGTGACGGTGATGCAATATTCTTATCTTGAGAGCATGCGCAATAAATACTATCGGTGTAGACTGGAATAACCAAACGCTAGAGATTGCCATTCGATTGGGACTACTGACATATTTTGGCGAACATAACTGATTAAAAATTGCAGTAAAAACGGAAACGATTGAATGTAAATCAGTTTATATACATTCATATTACATTATTATATGCGTTGCGGCCCAGCTGTGTCAATTTCTAGATCCCAAATATTAGCGATTTATCTCCTTTAAAGATACATTATGGGAGATTCGATAACGAGTTGGCAGTTCCCGCTATAATAGTTAAAAACTAGATAGTGTAAAGGTAATTTGCTGAAAATTTCAGTCAAATTGATCCACTATGAGCCGAGAACGAAGCGGGTGAAATTTTCGCATAGTCTCGGTCATCATTACTAAAATCATTAATATAAACAGCATAGTCTCGATTATCCACTGTTTTGATTTAATTATCAATGGCCGTTAAGCGGCATATAGGAATCTAATCCAGCCAACATCGAAGGCTAGCCTTGACATCGAGAGTTTATTATGGTCTGGATAAGTTAATAATGTCTAATTGATAATTTAGATAACATTTCAGGCCTAAAGAAAGACTTGTAATAAGCAGATTTTGCTCTTGCATAATGCATGTTTAATATCCCAATCCCATCCGTTCTATGGTATCGAAAGTCGATTATAGACTAGACATGTGAACAAATGTCTTATTAATAATTTTATATGAGACCCCACAAAAGCAACCAACATCTTCATACAAATGAAGTATAAAACAAAAAAAAAAATCCTTTAAATTTGCTTGTTTTGGGGGTGGTAAGTCTTTAGAGAAATCTAACAAAGAGATTGAGAAATGGTGCTTTACGTCCACTTGACATAAACTAGGTCATTTAGGGACTAACACATGGTTCAATTTTATTTCAATTCTTCACTTGCATTTAGGGATCTTTAGCAGTGGGTGGAAACAGGAAAACCCGTAAAAAACCCACAAGGTTGGACAGGCTAACCTACTCCTTGTCACATACAACCAGGGAAAAAATTTAATAGAAACTAAAGTCGATATTGTTTGCGAAAAGTTCAACAATTTTATTTAAGCCAATAGTATACTGTTACTAATGAAATTTCGTGGTACGTTTGGAGTTTTATTGGGCTTTTGTTGTTTGAGATATAATTCAGTTGAGTTGGGTATTGACACGTCTGTCTCTAAATGTGTAAAGTTTGCGGTGGCAGAATTTAATTAGCAAGTTGTCTG